GAAGATAGTAACAAGGAAAAATAATAATAAAGAGAAAAACAAAAACAATAGTGTGAATGCCTAATGGCATTCACACAATAATAATAATAATAAAGAGAAAAACAAAAACAATAGTGTGAATGCCTAATGGCATTCACACAATAATAATAAAAAGCATGGAGGGGGTGGCAGGGTGTTTGGTCACACATTTCAAATGTTTGGCGCAAGCAATACAAAAAGTAACTGTCAGTCAGGTAAATGTAGGGGAAAGTCGCTTGAGAGAAGTCTCCTGGTTGAACTTTTAATATATCCCTGTAAACACCACTTTCTAGTAGGGAAAAATGATTGGCTACAGTCACAGCTTTAAAACAGTCGTGTGATGAGTGGCTCTAAATTCAAAGAGGGTAATGCGCCAAACTAACCAGTCACCCATGGCACAGTGACTATGGTAGCTAACAAACTTGCTAAAATGGCATCTTGCCAAAGACCCACCGGACACTTTGTCAATGAGCCAACTAGTTTCTGAACTGGAGAAGCAACGGACCTCACTTCTGTGAATCACTTAAATGGATTCCTCATTGCTATTAAGACTTGCTGGGAAAAACTTTGAGCAGGTATTAAACACAGAAAAAAACAGTGGAGATGATACAAACTTAGAACAAGTTTCTTCAAGACCATTTGGAAGATCTCAAAAACAGGTCCTGTAGACCTCCGACTAATTAACATTCCAAAGGGCAGTGAAAATGGACAGAACCTGGTTGAATGGTAAATGGACTGAACTTATATAGCACTTTATCAAGCCCCATCGAACCCCACAGTGCTTTACACTTTAGTCATTCAGCCATTCACACACTGATGATGGTAAGCTACATTGTAGCCACAGCTGCCCTGAGGCACACTGACAAAAGTGGGGCTGCCATGCACCGGTGCCACCAGACCCTCTGACCACCATCATTAGGCAAGGAAGGTGAAGTGTYCCAGGGGTGTCAAACTCCAGTCCTCGAGGGCCACTATCCTGCATGTTTTAGAGGTTTTCCAGCTCAAACACACCTGATTCAGTGATTGAATTAACTCTTCAAATTGGGCAGAAGCCTGTTAATTACCCAGCGATCAAAATCTGGTGTGTTGGTGCAAGAAAACCTCTAAAACATGCAGGATAGCGGCCCTTGAGGACAGGAGTTTGACATCCCTGGCTCTAGCCCAAGGACACTTTGGTATACGAGTCTGATTGAAAAAGGCCGAATAAATATCAGGTAAAACTGGTGTGGTTGCATCTACAATGGTAGCCTGGCCCTTGTCTTCCTACGCAGCTCCGCTCACTGCTCCGTCTGGGACTTCTCTATGGGATAAGACAACTGTCAGAATCATTGTATGTGTAAGAGTCCAAATTTGTACATGTAAGTCTATAAACGTGCATAAATTTGTTACAACTTTGCCAAATTACAAGTACGAATCAAATTTACAAGTACAATTCTTATGGGAGAATACAAGTTTTTAAGTTACAAATACAAGTTAAAAAGTTACAACTTTGCCACATTACAAGTACGAATCAAATTTACAAGTACAATTCTTTTACCAGTCAAAATAACAGACATTATACAATTAATAAACAGTGGAGTGATGATGAAATGTTCCAAATTATTTATAGACCATATTTTTTAGTAACTTCTCTAACTTATGACACTTAACACTACTCTACACTACTACTGAAGACTGGAGCCAGGTGGAGAACAAACCTTCAGATGGTTGAAGTACAGGTGGAGACGTCTTCATGACCTGCAGAGCATCAGGACTGATGCTGGAGCTTTCTGATACATGTGTGTATTAAGGTGTTAGAAATACTCAGAAACACCATGACAGGCCAGAGCAGGTAGATGAAAATGAATCAATGAAAATATTAATTTAATTTTAGTGACCATTGAAAGAAATATCAGTAAAAAAAAATTCATAAAAATGAAGTATTTATGTCACAATGTAGTAGTAATAATAGTAGTGCACTATATTATGTGTTTAAAAGTGTTATTTGACCGTTGAAAGAAATGTCAGTAGTAAAAATTTATTTTAATAAAAATGAAGTATTTATGTCACAATGTAGTAGTAATAATAGTAGTGCACTATATTATGTGTTTAAAAGTGTTATTTGCGATACGTTTCATTAAACATTTTAACAATTTACTGCCCCCCTTTTTTATGGCTATACTATATTCATTGTTTCATCTATCACTCACAGCTCATAGTTAGGTAAAAACAAAAGTGTTGAATATTTAAAATTTTATTTATTAAAGTAAAACCATCAATCAATGTCAAATAAATGAAAATTTCTAGGTAAGCTTTAATATAAACAGATTAAACATCCTGAGTTTAAAAAACATGTCAAGGCCTGGTGTTTGACTTCCTCAGCTCTAAACAGGACATTTTAAAACTGTACATTTGCATTAAATGAATTTTTCAGCTGTCATGAAGGCTTTAAAACCCTGATGAACAGATTTTGTTCCAGTGTCTCCTCATCCTGCTGCTGGTTCAGTTCTTCAGATGGTCAGGAACTCCATCACCTCCTCGTCCACCTGCCTGTCAGATGTAGGTGTGGATGTAGAGGACATCTGTCCTGGGTCCATGGATGGGCTGAATGCTGCTCGCTGCATCAACTGCACTTATCTTAACAAGACTGATTTATTCTAACTTTATTTAATGAATTACATTAACTTCATTTTTATTCAGTTTATAATATTACTGCTAATACAACTATTTGACCTGATGTGGGGTGGAACTGKCTTCYACTGGTTGTAGTCTCACTGATGGAGCCTGATGGTCTCAGTCCTGCTCTGATACAAAGGTCTGGAGACAGGGCCTCAGTGGGTCCACAAACAGATTCAGGTCCATGTTGAATAAAAGTAAATTAAAAATAACACAGTTATAGTATCACACACACAGTCACAGCCAGCAGTCTCATTAATCAGACAGCATTTTTCTACACATATTGGTCAATGAAATCTGAAGGAAGTAATTTGGTAGTAGTTAAAAATAGATTAACTTAGTTAAACACAGTTTAACTTTGATTTATGGTGATTCTAATTAAAATCAATGTCCATGTATTTCTGACAAAGCTTTAAAAATGTAGCCAACAAGGTTTTAATAAACAAAACAAAATATAGAGAAAGCTTTTTAAACTCACAGTTTTAACACCAATTAGGTTTTTGTTCTTTTCAAGCATTTCTAATTAAACTTTGACTGAACAGGAAACATGAGGCTGTTTTTTCTTTCCTATTCATATCATCATGCTAACGTTAACACCATGCTAACAACAGCAATCAACAAAGCTCTACTTTCAGCACAGAAACAGTTTAAACACATCCTCTTACAAATACTGACAAGTACTGCGTGTACCAAATGTGAAATAAATAATACAAACTACTATTAAAAGTAAAAAGAGTTTAACTTACAGTTGTTTAGGGGTTTGATGGTGGGAGACTTGAGTCCTCCTGCTGGCCGGGTCAGAGCACTGCCGTTATGAGTTTTTGAACTTGCATTATTTTTTCCATTATGCAGTCGGTTTTATGAATGCATCAGTTTTCTTTTTTGGTTGTTCATCATAAATCCACTATCTACTTTATTGTTGTACTACATGACATGAATKACAAACTGAAAAGCCTCCAAATGCTTTTCCCTTCAGCAAATTGTTGTGTTCATAAAGAGTTAATCTAGTCCCAGATGAGGCAGTGGTCATGTCCCCCAGTGGTGTTTGCAATCAATCTTTTCTGTGTTCCATGTATAATGTCTGTTATTTTGACTGGTAAAAGAATTGTACTTTTCGTACTTGTAATGTGGCAAAGTTGAAACTTTTTAACTTGTATTTGTAACTTAAAACTTGTATTCTCATGTAAGAATTGTACTTGTAAATTTGATTTGTACTTGTAATGTGGCAAAGTTGTAACAAATTTATGTACGTTTATAGACTTACATGTACAAATTTAGACTCTTACACATACAATATTTCTGACAGTTGTCTTACCCGATAGATTTCAGGTAAAGATCTCCAGTCCGTCTGTTTCGGTTTTCAGTGGGAGACGCGTCGAGCGGCGAAAAGTTCAGATATTTGAACTCGGGCGGCGGCTACCGCATGATGCATCGCTTCAACTCTCCAAGAAATAGTTTAAAATGACTAATATGTCCTTTCTTACCGAAGCCATCAACATAAGAAAAATAAATGACCAAGAAGCAGCAGAACTTGTAGTACACAACAAATTTTTATTTTAAATTAACACCATGAATCAAATGTCTGTTTGTATAAATGACTTCCTGAAACCGCGACAAGATATAAGTTTGGTTGATATTATGTATAAGATATTATGTTGACTTGAATGCGACAATACAAACTTTAATGCAAATAAACTTACATAAATTTAGGAGAACATCTAAAATGCACAAAACTATGAATTAAGAGAAAACTGTTTTCCCTGAATATTGTTGTTGTTGTTTTTTCCAACAGAAAATAAGCCTTAAATGTCTTACAGTGAACAAAGTCCTACATACAGTATATACATTTGGTCTGCACTGAAAAAGAAATGCTTTGAAGGTCACACAAAATCTGCAGTAAGTTTCAGAAAGCTTGGACTTGGATGAGACCAGGAGAGGGTTCTGAGCAGATCAGAGGATAGGCAATGCAGCATTAGTTTATGATGAAAGACAAGCTGTCTCGCTCTTGCCCGTTTCTTAGGTCTGTAATTATGAGGTTTGTGAATTCAGATTTTTTCTCATTCCTGGGCATGCCAAGTGAACATTACAGAGCAGGAACTGATTGCTGTTGAACAGTACAGGTGGTTTACCGTATGAGCAGATGTTTCCCAAACCACAAACGCACATCTGTAAAACACTGATCTGAAGGGAAAAAATAAAATGCGTGGGAGTGTTTAAAAGTAGATATGAGAGWAGAAGATGATGGGAGAAAACACGCTCCTTCAGAAGCAAGATAAAGATTTGTGGTAAGCAATGGCGCTCGCTTTAGTATCTTTTTAAAAGAGATAATTACAGTGCTGAGTCAAAATGAGGTGGAGGGACCAAGGATGACTGCAAAGAAGCGCAAGCTTTGGGCTTGCGTCGTTTGGTGGGAACAGACGGAGTGTGGTTTTCTTGACTGAACTTGAAATGGTAAGTGTCACATTGCTGTTAACTTTCCAAATAGTACTCTTTGACACTAGATGACAGCCCAGCTACAATGTAAAAATCATCTAGATGAGCTTTGAAAAGTCTTTAGGTATAAGGAACATAATAGGCTTCCTGTCATGCACGATGGTCCACATTGGTTTTGAGAATGCCTCAAACAACCTAGGCCAAGTCCTGGTGGCAGCATATCCATGAGGTGGGACCTGAGCACACCAGCATGATTTTGTCATCAATGATTTAAAGCTGGACTGGCTACACTGCTGTCATGCCCACAACTTAAACTGCAACAAAGTCATGAAAAGAACAAAACACAGATGTGCTAATCATGGCAGTAATATTATACTAACTCAACATACAATATAAATTATATAGGGCTAGGTAAAACAAATGATATACTGTTAGGGACGGGTACTGAATTCTATACTTTTTGATGTACAGACCGAATTCTGTCGGTACTACCGAGTATCTATTCACGTAACATCAAACGGTACCATGTTTCGGTACCTAAACGCATCATTGGGACCGGTTTGGCATAAGAGTGGTGAGTTTTCCATGCTTGTCCTGAACGCAGCATCGCGCAAAAGCCTAATGACGTCAGCAGCCGCTGGTTCAGTCAGTAAACAGAGGCAGCAGAGCTCGGTCTGAATGTAGCTGAAAGCCTCGCAGCTCCTGGAGTAAAACTCGCCGAACAGACCGCCTCTGAATTATCTGGTGGATTAATTATCTTGTGAGCACGACGTTCACTTGCTCAAAGTAAATAAAGCACCACCACTTTCTTTATTTCATCCACCATCAAACAGAGACCGGCAGAGGAAAACAACAGAGGAGCTTCCTGACAGTCTGAACACGTCTGACCTGAAGAGCACAAGCAGCTAACTTGAAATGTTGGACGTGTTCTGGATGTTCAAAACGTAGCTTGAACACCTTTTATTTATTTTAACTCCATCCTCTTTTGCTTATTTGGTTTAAACTTATTTGCCTTCCATGGACCTCCATCACACAAGTTTTCTAGCGGGGAAATGTCATCAATGGAAACATGTGGAGCTGGATTTTAATTTGTGCAATAAGACAAAACAGTCTTGTTGTTTTCAAGAGTTTTCACTTTAAAGAAATAAGTTACACAACTGATGTTACAACACAAAGAGTTGGATGTTGTCTTGATATTTGTTAAGTTTTATATATTGAGAAATATGATAAATAAAAAAAGTTTATTATTAAAAAAACAACACACACAAAGTACCGAAAATTAGTACCGTTAAGTGCCGGTATCGATTCCCAGGTACCGGATATTGGTACTGAATCAATTCAAATGTCAAAAGGTACCATCCCTATATACTGTAAATCAATCTTGGATCGATTTCATTTAAAATCTTGTAATATTGATTCATAGGGCATAAGATTTTTTTCAGCAACTCCACTAAGCAAGCCAACTTACATTTGACATTTTGAACAGAAAAGTACAAGTTGGATAAAACTAAAGTGGTTTGCAAAGTCTGTCAAGCGGAGGTTAGTTATTGTAGAAATACTACAAACCTTAGAAACCACTTGACAAGATACAGTATCAAGTTACACTAACGTTAGCTTCCAACAACAAGTCGTCTGGGCCAAAACAAAGGAAGCCGGAACAACCAGCTGATTCTCTGCTGGCCATAACGATAACGGGGGCCATCACAACTTTTGTTTGCAAAGATTTATGCCTGTACTCTGTTGTGGAAAATGAAGGTTTCAAGCAGCTCATTTAGGTGCTCAAGCCAAACTATGTTATGGTCCAGCGTAAACACCTGACAGAAATGGTTATTCCCTGGATGTAAAGACAACCAACATTTCCCCTACCATTATTCAA